CGCGTGGGGCTGTAGCAACGTCTGTCAGGTCGCCCCCCACCCTCGTGTTTCATCTCCTGCGCGCGCGTAGAGCAAATGCTAGAGCGATTTCAGCTGATAGAAAAACAAAAATGAAAAACAAAAAACAAAAAACATGGCACGTTGCTAGTTTACAGGGTTTTGTGAGTTTAAATGCCTTATATTTAACAATCATAATTTATGACTAACTTGTAGATATCGTGGGTTCTTATTTAATTATTTTTATAGTTGTTTTGCATTTTTAATTATAATTTATTTATTTAGAAAGGATACTAATTTTTTTTATTACTCCTATTACCTCATTTTGCCGTTGTTTCTGGGAGTGGAATGCTTTGCATGCATTGGTACGATGACAAACAACTACGAATACAAAAAAAAATTTTTTAAATAAAATTCCGCGAACTTTATTTCGTCCAAATATCAGGGTGTGTGATTGCAAGCTGTCCTACTGTGGTGCTGGCCTCTTTGGATACATTCCATATGAAATGCAAACCTTTGATTCTGTATGCTGTGATCTAGTGAAAAACTCCAATATAGTGACTGTATTTAGCACATATATTAATATAATTTGCACTTGTCAGCAGACTGGGATAATCCTTTCACTTGCTACCCTTGTCCCCCTGACCCCTCATCACTAACCTGTCTTCCCTTCTTCCCTTGCCCTTCCCACGCCTCAGCCCACCCTGCCTCCATCTTCTGAGGAAGCTCTGGGGGCACTGGAGGTCACTCTCTCCACCTGGGCTACAAATCCCTCTGGTTCCAGAATGTTCCCTTTGGACATGACCAGCAGGAGCCTGGTTTATTAGAATGAACCCTGGCCTGGAGATAAGGAGGCCCGGGTTTTCAGACCAGCTCTATTGTAACCTTCTCTGTGACCTTGAACAAATCCCTTGGCCTCTCTGGGTCTCAGTTTTCTGGGTTTGGGGGCGGGGGGCTGGAGGTGAGCTGGAGGGTCTCCAGGGTCCCTGGGACTCAGAGAGAATGACTCGGATCCGGTGGGAGACTACCATGCTGTGTTAAGTCACCCTCTCAGGAGAGAAGAAAGGAAGGAAGGGAAGAAGAGGAGAGGAATAGAGCAGACAGAAAATGTATCCAGTGGATTTGCTCAAAGGAGATATCCGGAGGGTTTCTGTCCTTTTATATGCAGCGTCCTGGGGTGACGGGGAGGCAGGACACTGGATACGGGGCATGTGCTTTCACAAGGCTTGGCGGTCACTTGGAAAGTGAGCTGAAATCCATGTCTTGTTAGTTACGGGGATGGGGTGAGCCCCAAACTATGGTGTTTAGAATTGGCACCCCATCCTAGCATCTCTTGGAGACTTTACTGTTGAGGCATCACCCTTGACAACAGATTGGGATGCAGATTTTAGACTCATGGTTCCTCCTCCCTAGTATCTCCTCTTTACTCTCTGCCATTGCTCCAGGGGGCTGTGGGCAGGGGGCGCTGCTGTGGATGGGGGTGGCCTCCAGTCTCACCTCCCCAGGAGGAGTGCTAGGGGAGGGTTTGAGGAAGAGGTGGCCTCAAAGCCTGGCTCAGCTGTGAGCTGAGATGCCTTTGAGCTAAAGGAGAGAGAGGAGGTCCATGCCCCCAGAAGAAGCCTGGCCCGGAGTGGGATCCACTCCTGTGCCTCCCGCATGTCTGCCTCTTCCCTCCGCTCCCCTTTCCCCTCCTTTCCAGCCCATCTTGCCTCTTGCCTCTTGACATCACTGCCTTTGCCTAATGGAGCCGTCCACCCTCCACGTGAGGCCCCCTGGGATGGTGCTGATGGGGGAGGAAGTGGATGCCCAATTCGCCACACTGCCTGGCCAGGCTTGGAGAAGTGTCTGGGCCGTGCATGGTCCCTAAGCCCCAACTTTGCTCCGGCTGGACTATGGGTCTCGTTCCCTGGGCTTCCTGCCTGCTGCCTGCCAGCTTCCCTTTCTGCCTCCGCCCTGGAG